TTGAGGTTAATTTGGAAGAAAAAAAGTGAAGAGTGAATATAGTATGAAATGGTTTTTGATGAACGAAGAAAGTATGAGAGGTGAAGAGGATTGAAGCTTGAAGAAAATTAGAGGTTGGGGTGATATTTCTGCAGAAGTTTTCTGGCTTTTCAAGCTTGAAGAAATGAATGAGGTATGTGTTGTATTTATAGATTGAGAGTGAGTGAAAAATGGTTGCCGTTTGTGTATTTTCTGTGCGTTTTGGTTGTTGCAAGTTGTGCGTGACTTGTTGTGATATTTTTTTCATGTCGTTTTGATTTTTCTTTGTAGCTGACATGTTATTCTTCTTTTTTTTTTATTTCACTTCAATTTCAATTATCTGACGTGGATTATTTTTCTCAATACATGACTTGAAGGTACAACCATCTGACATAATGAAAAGAAGTGTATCAAACCCAGCCTCATATGCTTCAATATGCCTAGCAGTGATGGAAAGTAGTGATGTTATTGTTTGCCAACCTAACTAAGATCTAATATGAGAAGCATTTGCCTTCACAAGGTTACTAACTTCCTGCGTAATCTGTTCATAGTATGTGTCGGCGACCCGAGCGTCAAGCTTCAGGACAAGTTGCAGTGACCTCAAAAGTTCATCGGTAATGTTCTCTTTGTAAGGAAGTAAGCGATGGCAAATTCTTAACAGTCCAAAAACAACCTTCTCTACCTGTGCACAAGGCATCACGGTCGATTGTACAATATTGGAAACATGCTCATACACATCCGGCCAAAGAAGTTCAATTCTATCTCGGTTATTCAGAGTGATTGCTACCAGTAACTCCAAGCAGAAAACTGAAGTATCTTCATCTTCAAATGATTGATTTGATCAGAAAAATAAGAATCAACTTCAGCTGCTTGAGATTGCCATCTCTCTATGGCAAGATGATCTTTTACTACCCCATCACCAGCTGTGTCAATCCAAGCTTTTGTATATAGATTACTGTCCACATCAGCACTTTCTCCTGGCTGTCAATCCCATTTGAATGACTCCTCTGTGAGAGATTATCAACCGGTATTTTAGAACTATCAAGATTAACACAAGCGGTGGAAAAATCAACAGACCATTCCCTAACTTTGCAATTCCTAGAATCGATCTCGGAAACACAATCCTGCCTTCCGAAAAAAAAACCACCTGGCAACTTTTTGAGTGATCCTGTGGCAGGATCATACAGGAGTTCACAGAAAAAGACATTGTGGAAGGCTCCAGGGGCACTTCCTTCAGGGATATCAATCTTTTTCCTGACTTCACATTTACCTTCTACAGATTGAACAGAGATCGTATATGTTTCATCACTGAAATACACCTCTTGTACATCAGAGCAGTATGCTTTCTCACTTGATACATCCTTCGGTCGGAAGAATCTTCTGACTTTGAGTTCTGTAGATTTTATTTCAGCTTGTTTTGTTTGTATAAACAGTATGCCTTAAGGAAATGAAAATCCTCAGGAGGAGTTTTGGAAGATTGAATAGCGGAGATAACGTCATCAAATCGATCGTCTTTGATTAGCGCGACGACCTTGCATCGGAGAGCGTCTTCGTCATCAGGTGCAAATGCGAGAATCTGATCTGTGAGTTTGACGGCATTGGTGAAGGAGGAAACTTGGATGTGTTTGTTGAGCGTGGTGAACAAATCTTCGAGTGGCTTCACAGCTTTTGCATCAGGTTCTGGGAGCCTTAGAGTCACAGCAGCAGTTGTACATGGCACCTATGGAAGCATAGGTATCCTTTCACCACGAATGATATCATTAGGATGACATTCAGAAGAGCAAACAGAACCTAACAGCTCACTGATAATTTCATATTCTGAAGCCAAATACTCCCTTTTTGTAGCACATTCCAATGTAGTCAACATCTGCAGAATGTCTTCAATTGATGATGAATCTTCCACTGCTATCTTCTGCCAGATTGATGCTTTTATCATGTTGCTGTGCAACAGAAGTGAGATTGCCGATATAATGAAGATATGAAAAATAGTTATCAATGGCCTTTGATGTTTCAGCAAACGGATTAACCAGAGATGCCCCCTTGGTTCTATCTTCAGTTTCTTTAGAGCTAACTTCGCCAGCTAAAGACATGTTACCAATATCATATACAGATTCTTCCCTGAGCAACTGTCTTCGAGCAAGTATTGTCAAAATCGGTTCTTGATATAGGTGGAGGAAGGATCTTTGAAGCAAGTCCCTGTGAAATCTCAAGAAGATCATCAAGCACGGTGAAGCTCACAAGATCGAGACAGTCTAGCCACTTACCATATGGGAGATAAATGTCATCTGCTCCTGTCAAGCACTTCTGCAAAGATAACAAAGCATGATTTCTAACCTCCTCTCTCTGGTCTAAACACACTTTCCTTAGACCCTGTCCTAGTATCAACCACATGTCTGCAATATCCTTTGACATCTTTTGAACTTCCTAGATCAGTGCCATGTTCTGCGAAGGCATACACGTGCGTACCTTTAATATGTATACGTATCTCAGCTGCCAGCTCGAGGATGTTTTTGGCTGCTCCAATCTCACCCATGTTGTAACCCCTAACAGAATAGGGACCCCCGAGAGTAAAAGCATCATAACTTGGAAGGTCACCTACACAGCCACCATAGTGGCCATGGAGAACAAGTACTGGAGGTGGTGGTTTACCGGCACCTTCCTCCACAGCAATCAATGGGAGAAACTGAGTCGCAGTTAATTTTGACGGTTAAAGAATGGGAAATTGCTGTTAATGCCAAGGCCTTGATCTACCCGGAACATGTTCCTGCTTCCAACTATAGTTCCATTCACAAACCTTGTGTTATCCCGCGTAATATTAGCCTGCAAAAACGCCATCCTATCGATACCAGTACCACTAAGGGTGGTTGGAGGTCCATCTGAACTAATTGCTCCATTAGGTAATACTCTTTGACCATTGGAACAGATGTGGTTGCTTTCATCACGTGTTATTATCTCTTCCATTACCAATCCATAAGTGAATTTACTCTGACGAGAAAAATTCTCAGTGATATTAGCTTTTACACCAGCACGGTCAACTCATATTGAAGGCACTTCATCCACCCCCGGCCCTCCAGTGAATACTGGACTCAGCTTTCGGCTATTGAAGCAGCTTACACGGAGAGTTCGGTTCCGTGGATCATCTACACCATCCAAATATGGATGTGCATACTCCATTTTAAATGCAAGATCATCCTGAGGATTCAAGAAGTTGCTAGTTGTCACTGAACCAGTAAGTGACCTATTCAATCCTTGCAGATTCTGATGTTCAAAAGTAATAGTCCCTCCCGGCTGCAGCGAAGCCAAAGTCAGACGCCTTCCTCGCCCTGGAACAATACTCCACTCATTACTAACTTTAGTTGATTTCTGCTCCAACTCTTTGAGCTTAATTTCAACTATTATGCTTCCCTCATTCTTCTCATCAGGCCGCGAATTCACCTCATCATCATAGATAGTATGCAAATAGTACAGGGTTGAAACCTCATCTTCATTCTCAGTATATAAAACTGTATATAATAACTAGCCACCAAAACCTAGTGGAGATAACTTCAAATCTGCTCCTCTCAAAACTTGGTGATGACCAACCAAAAAGACAAAAAGACGTTAACGGTGTGAATCTCTTAATCTTCAAGCTCGATAATCTTAACAACAGATGCATCACCGACTTTTTGGAAAATAACAACTCTATCATGTGGCTTGATGACTCCTGATGTTTTTCCATGATCAAGTGCTACCTTCAGAATAGACTCATTACTGGCACTTGTTGATTCAGCAGGATGTCGAGGATCAGCAAGCATGGGAAAGAGACCTCTTACAATGAGTGACTGCCTTGCCTCAAAAGCTCCACTAAAGCTTCATTTTAGCTGATTTGTCTTAAGCCTGGGTATCACAACGGAGACAACCGACATCGTTGGCCTGTACTTTGCTATCAATCTTGCAGCCCTTCCAGATGAAGTAAAGCAAATGATAACAGAAGCCTTCCCCTTAATAGTTGCACGTACCGCTGAGGATGCTATGGATTCCAAATGGGTCATGGGTTCTTCAACATGTTTCACTGTCCTCTTAAAATAAAGGTCTTGATTGAAAACTTTCTCAGCTTCTGCACAAATCTTGCCAACTGTAGAAATAGTCTCGACAGGGTATAACCCGCGTAAAGTCTCAGCACCCAAAAGAATTGCATCACTACCATCTAAAACAGCGTTGGCAACATCAGTGGCTTCCGCACGAGTTGGTCTCAAGTTGTCAGTCATGCTATCCACAACACGTGTGAGCACATCAGGCTTCCCAGCCATATTACACTTGTAAAGGGCGGACTTTTGGAAGTAAAATACCTTCTCTGGTGGAAGATCAATGCCCAAATTCCCACGGGAAAGGATAATACCATCTGCTTCTTGTAGAATCTCATCAAAATGGGTCAATCCCTCAACATTTTCAATCTTTGCAAAAATTTGAGTTTGGCTGAGATCACCTAATGTAGAAAGGAATTCACGTGCCTGGCGAACATCTTCAGCATGCCTAGTATATGACAATGATAGAAAATCAATTTTGTTTTTTACACCCCAAGTGCTTATAACCTCCTTGTCTTTCTCAGTGAGGGTAGGCAAATCAATATGAATTTGAGATGCATGCAAGGTAAACAATGCCCCAGCTAATGTTGCTAAATTTTTTATAGTACAAACAACATCCTGCCCTGTAACTTCCACTACCTCTAGCCAAACAGAAGTAGTTTCACTTCCCGTGAACAAGTATTGACCAACGAAAATGGTGTCTCCTGTCTTCACTGACTTGGCCAGTCCATTAAAATTGATAGGCAGTATATCTGAAGAAGCTTCTTGTCCCTGGTCAGGAGTTAGAACAACCTGACTATCAGCCTGAAGTGAAATCGCTGTCTCATTTTTATTAACAACCTGCATTTCGGCACCCATTGTGTCCAACATAACAGCACAGAGCTTCTTAGTAGTTTTGATAGCAGTCTTCAAATTTTCCTAAGTCTCCTGGTGATACTCAGCACCACCCCAAGAGAAATCAAAATGAGCCACAGACATTCCAGCTTTGAGGCAAGAAGAAATAACATCCACGGAACGAGATTTAGGTCCCAGGGTACCAACAATCTTCGTCATTGCAGGAAAAAAGTTGTATTTGGATGGCTCGAGTATTGAGATCATCCAAATCAGTTCTTTGATAAGCAAGTGACTGGAATGCATTTTTGCTTCTTATTGATGATGGTGATGATGATGATGTGGTTTCGAATCAAAACCCTAGTTCGCGGAAACGTAACGAGAGGAAGAAGCGGAATAAGAAGAACGTAGTATCAGAGAGTGTGGGCTGCGTTAAAATTTCATTTGCTCGCGCATTTTCTATAACAGCCTGAGAGATAAAAAAGTCATTCACCCCATCAGCATGGAAGTCACTGGGGGATGTAAATTGGCGTCTGTTGTTCCAATCTTGGAGCTGGGACAGGAGCTCAGAGACGACTATGCTAACCCTCTGTTGAACGACTTCAATAGACAACTTTTTACTGCTTGTCCTAACCAGAATATATCTAGCCGAATTAGTATATGAGGTATGATTTAGCCACAGTAGCTGCCACAAAGCCTGCTTCAACAGAATGATGAGGCTGCTGATATCCTTCTGTGATAGGGGTTCCTCCTGCTCATAAAATTCCTCATTATCAACTATCCTAAGCATATGCTTGTAGACAGGACAGAATACAGCAAGAGGTAACAGCCAACCAGGGGCATCCCCTGAGAGGTATGATAACTGCTCAGAGAAAGATGACCATTTTTTCTCCTGGCACCGTTTCATAAATGGGAACAAGGTCAGTTCTGTCGGCGAGCATAGTCATAATCCTTTCAAGTGGCAAAGTATTGAAGATAACATATAAAAACCCAAAAACTGCACCAACAGCTGCAACAAGTTATTCATCACCTACACCGTTATCTCTTCCAATACCAAGTGAAGATAGGGTTTGGAGGAGATAATGTAGAATCTTTGAAAGAACTGCAGGCCCTCTGCAATGACTCAACTCCTCACTGTTCCTTGAATACTGAATAGCCATGGATATAATTCGGAATATCGGAGCAGCAAGAGATGTAGTTGCTACTGACACAGAAAAAATTCCTTTGATGTGGTTCAAGAGTGTCCTCTTGTATATTACTTACTACTAAGGGAAGCAAAGACAATGGGCCTCCATAAGCCACAGCCCACAAGGCATCTACAGGTCGTACTCGTGTAGCAACATGGACTTGCCCGAGAACCTCAGCAGGACATCGGAGCATTCCTGCGGCACCAGAAGGTGAAGCGTCTGGACAGAAGCGCCCACTAAGCAAACTAGGATGATAGAGTAGGTGTATGAAACCTCCAATTTCTGCATCTAATAAAGCACTTTCCTCTGCCATACTGCATTTGGGCATTTGTATTTGGACTTTGAACTTTGACAATTGTCTTGTCTTAATGAAACCTTGACAACTTTGAATTTGGGAAATATTAGTGATGATGAATGCCTTACATTTTCAAGTAACTTGCATTCCGAGTAAGCCATATGCATGTCTCTTCTAAATTTATCTTGAATCAAATTCTTGAATAAAACAAATTCTTAAGAAAGTGATGTCATGATGAACCCAAAGATCAATACCCTCAATCATGCTTTAGAATCACTTGGAAATGACACACTTGAATGAACACTTTGTACTTGCATTCCAAAACAAACATCTTGATTGAACATCCACCAAACTTGACTTGTACAGACAAAACTCTGAATCTTCGATTAAAACTGAATCACTTACAGTACGTCTGAGTTAATATCTGGGAAAATAAATCCACAAATGAACACAATCTAGATTGATGAACCCTGATCATGATAATCCGAACCAAACTTCTCATAGAACAATGTTTGAAAGTTTGATGAATTCTGATACAGGACAACTTGTCCTTGAACAAACACATTGTCTGAGAAAATAGCCCACCATGGGTAACTTATAGTTGAAGCAAACTTTTGATAGTTTGACCAAGATGAGGTCAAACTTCCATCTGATTTAGACTTGAATGAACGTCATTACCATCAATCTCCTTGCAAAACCCTGAGAGAATCAAAAAGAATGATCTTGTTTGTGGAATGATATGCAAATGAAATGTGGGATCTTAGGGGTAAAAATTAGGGTATTACACCTTCTGAGAAAGGAAAAGTCAATAGAAGACAAAAAGCAACAGAATGCTCAGCATTGCACAGTCTTTGAGAAATGGGCTTCTAGTACTATAAAAGCAAGTCTCAACATCACTTCAACGTTGATGGAATTATTAACAAATTATCCAACAAGCAAATCATTCAAACATTCTTCAGCTGAATAGTTTTCATATTCGTTCTTAAACTTGTGTAAAAATCACTGTTGTGATATAGCTTTTTAGAAGCAACTCTAAACACATTGTTAGTTTATCTTTTGTAACAGATTCCTTAAGAGGCCAAGTGTGGTCAGATTTCTTGAGAAGACTAAGACAGTTGTCTTAGTGGTTAACACTGTAATCAAGTTTGATTTAGTGGATTAAGTCCTTGTTGAGAAAGGCAAATCACCTGGGTAGGGTGGACTAGAGTAGTTTGAGTTCAAACGAACCAGGATAAAAATACCTTGTTGTTTTTCTATCATCCTAATTGTTTTAAAACCCTTATTCAACCCCCCTTTCTAAGTGTTTTTCCTACCTTCAGTTGGCATCAGAGCTCCAGTTCTGTAAGTGCTCTCACTTAACCGTGACAGAAAAAGATCCTGTTGGGAAAAACTCTTGATCTATTATTCTTGTTTTATCATGGCTGAAGCTTCAACTTCAAACAACAACAAATATGATGATAGAGACAGAATCAGCAGCAAACCTCCCATGTTTGATGGTGAGAAGTTTGATTACTAGAAAGATAGAATAGAAAGTTTCTTTCTAGGCTATGACGCTGACTTATGGGATTTGGTCGTTGATGGTTATATTCATCCCACAAATGATGAAGGAAAAAAGGTAGACAGAAAGTATATGACTGATCAACAGAAAAAGTATTTTAGAAATCATCACAAGGCGAGAACCATTCTATTAAATGCTATATCTCATACTAAGTATGAGAAGATAACAAATAGAGAAACAACATTTGATATGTTTGAATCTTTAGAAATGACGCATGAAGGAAACTCCCAAGTGAAGGAGACAAAGGCCTTAGCGCTCATTTAGAAATACGAAGCCTTCAAGATGGAGGAATATGAATCTGTGGAAGCTATGTTCTAGAAATTTCAGATTCTAACTGCTGGTCTGAAGGTTCTGGACAAAGGATATTCTACTTCTGACCACATCAAGAAGATAATCAGAAGCTTACCAACAAAGTGGAGACCAATGGTGACAACACTGAAGCTTGCAAAGGATCTGAATAAGATCACTCTGGAGGAACTTATCAGTTCCTTAAGAAGTCACGACATTGAGCTGGAAGAAGATGAGCCTCAGAAGAAAGGTAAGTCTGTTGCGTTAAAATCTAACAAATCTGCTAAAGCTTTGCAGGTAATTGAAGAAAGCTCTGAAGAATCTTCCTCTGAAGAAGATGAACTGTCTTTGCTGTCCAGAAGGATAAACCAACTCTGGAAGCATAAACAGAAGAAGTTCAAAAACTTCAAGAGATCTGATCAACGTGGCGAATCTTCTGGACACAAGAAATTTGGAAAGAAAGATGTAGCGTGCTTCGAGTGCAAGGAGCCAGGCCACTATAAAAATGAATGTCCCAAACTTCTGATGGAGAAACCCAGAAAGAAGTTTAAAAAGAAGAAGAAAATTCTAATGGCCACGTGGGATGATTCAGATGCTTTTGAATCTTCATCAGAATCAAAATATGAATGTGCTAATGTGGCACTGATGGTTGACGTGGAGGACCACGAAGAAACAGCTGAATCTGGATCAGATCAGATTCAGAAGAGGTATTTTCTAAACTTACTAGAGCTGAACTTACTAAAAGTTTATCTGAAATTCTTGAAAGCTACAGCAAGATCAAACTCAAATACAAGAAGCTTCAGAGCTATCTTGCATCTGAGACTGATCAGCTGAGATCAGAAGTTGCTGAGCTTAAAGCAAATAATCTTAAAATGAAAAATGATTTAGAAAAAGCTCAGAAGAATGACTCAGATCCTATGTCATGCTCTAAACACATTTTAGAAGAGTATGATTATAGTTTTCAGAAGTTTTTGTCCAGAGGCCTAGATAGAAGCAAAATGGCTTCCATGATCTATGGCGTAAGCAGAAACAATAGAAAAGGAATTGGATATGAATCACCTTCTAGGAAGGATTTAAATCCAAAACCTGTTGATAAACTGATAATTAAGTATTCTCCTCTGTACTCCCAATTTAAATATGGTCATCTGAACGATATTAAGCACACACGTTCTGGTCAGGACAACCCTGTGTTTAATAAACCAAAACTTCATCAGAACAAAGATGCTTTTAAGGGAAATAAATTCAGACAGAATTTCAAACCTACTAACCCCAGAGGACCCAAGAAAATATGGGTACCTAAGGACAAAATAATCTTTGTTGATGTCCTTAGCAGCAAAGTTGAGACACCAATCATGGTACCTGGACTCTGGCTGCTCGTGTCACATGACGGGAAGAAGGTATATGTTCCAAAGCCTGGAACTTAGATCTGGAGGTGACGTGAAGTTTGGAGGGAATCAGAAGGGCAAAATTATTGGCTTTGGAACTATAGGTAATGGTAACCTCCCTTCCATATCTAATGTTTTACTTGTTGAAGGATTAACACATAATCTATTGTCCATAAGTCAATTAAGTGACAATGGTTATGATATAATCTTCAATCAAAAATGTTGTAAAGCTGTGAGTCAAAAAGATGGTTCAATCCTCTTTAATGGAAAAAGGAAGAACAACATTTACAAAATTAATCTTTCAGAACTAAAAGTTCAAAATGTAAAATGCCTTCTGTCTGTTAACGATGAGCAATGGGTCTGGCATAGAAGATTGGGGCATATTAGTATGAGATGTATATCTCAGATTAATAAACTCAATCTGGTCAGAGGACTTCCTCAGTTGAAGTTCAACTCAGATGCTCTTTGTGAAGCATGTCAGAAAGGAAAATTTTCAAAATCTTCTTTTATAGCAAAAAATGTTGTTTCTACCTCTAAACCATTAGAGCTGCTTCATATTGATTTGTTTGGACCAGTGAAAACTGCATCCATCA